AAAGTGTTGCTTTGTTAATTAATTTTTCCCTTAGGTTTTACATGAACTTCACAGAATATGACTGTAACAGGAATGATGTGTGTTGGCCTGAACTCGCCTTTCCCATCACCAAGTATTACACAGGTGAAGATTTGTTAAATTCTAGAAACTGTGCAGTGTTTTTACTCTTTCCTTTTGGACGTTATTTAATCAATTAGGAAGAGTCCTTACCCAGAGAATAATTCCTCTGTATTCTATTTGTGGTTTTAAAATAATTTTATCCATTGTTAGACCTAAAAGCTTAAACAAGAGGAACACAGGCTGTACTCCAAATTACAATGTAATATTCAGTGTAATTGTACCAAAATCAGTTCTAGATTAATAGGATTCTGGTTAAATGTATCTTTAAATGCATTAGTGAATAAAACTGATCCTGAGGTGGATAATAAAAAAAACAAACTCTCATGTGTTTCACTTTTTCCCCCTAGAAACATTTCTAAAAGTTTGGATTACTAAGACTACAGTCAGTGACCTACTTTCCCTTTATCCTTCACAGGCGAGCCATTTTCTCAGTCGCTGGCTAAGGGCATGATCTTGGTTTTCTTCTTTATCGTTGCCTCAGTTCTTGGCACCCCGTGGAGACAAATCAGACAGGCGTGGAACAACTCTGCTCACTAAAACTCAGTGATGATGGTTTAAAGTGTCACTGAGGATAATGACACCTTTTCCTTAATAACATAGTAACTTACATGTTTATTCCTATGATTGTTGTAGGAGTATAAACTGTTGTATTTGTGAACCTTTTTGCAATAAAAATATTTTTCTATTACTTTCTCGTGCATGGGACTTGATTCCTGGTTGTTTTTTTTTTCAGATTTCAGTTGTTCTCACATGACTCAGGGTCATCACCCAGAAGCAAAATATTATTTCAGCGTCACACAGACAGGCAACAGCTGTAACACAGTTACTGTTCCTTAGGATTATAGACCTGGGTTTAAAGTTATTTACTATATTTTATAGTAATAGTAATTTAAATTACCTCAAAGTTGATGTCACAGAGTGATACTGAAATAAATCACCAGTGCAATTTAAATTAAGAAGCAGGAATATTAATAAAAAAAAGTATTTATTTGTGAGACAATGTGCTGACAGTATTTATTAATGTGGTATTTCATGCTGTAAGAGATAATCATCAAATCATTACTGAATGCCGCCTACAGGCCGATATTTATTGCAGCCACAGATGTGCATCAGTCAGCGTTCTGTTGCTGTTTATTGCTGCAGTGTGCACTTTGTGATGAGGTGTGTCTACGCAGCCACATCACTTCCTCTTTTGTTAATTTGTGTTTCCTTTCCATTTTGCACTATTTTATTTTTAGAGTAATTGTTCTTTTTTTTCTTTTCTTTTTTTTAGTCATCACACTTATTGAATCTACATTTTATTTATTTTTACACGAACTATTCTGTGTACTATCTTCAAATGTCCACTAGATACACAGTGAAAATGGAACATAGTATAAATGAACCTCTGGCGTCTTCTTTACTGCTCTGAGTACACTAACAGCACAACAAAATGGAAACGGGGAAATTACACAAATGAACTCAAACAAAGGATTTGGGGCAATTAGGCTTCAGTTTGGGCTGTTAAATTACTACGTTATTCTTTTCATTTGTTTTTGGTGATATGGCTTGTACATACTCTGTGACAGCCAGTTACCAATGTATGTGCTAAGATTGCTAAAAATGCAAATGCATTGTATGAATAATGCAGTTCAATAGCCATTTTGGGGAAGTGCATATTCAAATGTAATTTTTAAGGAGGATCTCATTCTCTCAGTTTCTCTGTTTTTTCAGCAATACGTAATAAACTTCCTAATATTTTCAGTTCACTTCAGCAGCATCACAACCATGACTCCAAAATGGTTTTAGAAGAACCTAAATGATAAAATATAGATTTATTCTGTCTGTGAAATCAGATTTATGCGACCTATTTTACCTCCTGTAGAAGCTTGTTTCTGCCACTGAAAAGAAAGCCATCCACAAGTCAAAATTTGGGGTAAAGTGCTGTGAAAAAGGATTTGCTGCCTTCCTGATTATTTTTTTTTACTCATTTGTCACATGTGTTTCAGACCATCAAATAAAATTCAACTTTAGACAAAGAAAGTAAAAAACTTTCTTTTTCTCAAGTTCACTAGTTCATTCATAGAAAAAAGCTATCCAAACATACCTGGCCCAGTTCTAAATATGCCCTCAAATCTAATGACTGGCTGTGCCACGCTTGGCAGATCTTTTTATTTTTTCAGATCATTGTCCTGCTGCTTAATCTGAGCGCTCTTGAGCTTCAGCATAGTAACTGATGGCTGGACATTCAGAGTTCATGGTTCCATCAATTACAGCAATTTGAACACGTCCTTAAGCAGCAAAGCAGCCTCAGACCATCACACTGCCACCACCATGTTGGACTGTTGGAATGTTGCTCTTTTTTTGAAATTCTGTGTTCGTTTTAAACCAGATGCAACAGCACTCAAACCTTCCAAAACGTTTTTGAGAAAACTTTTCTCAAAAGTCTTGGGGATCATCACCATGTTTTTTTGGCAAATGTGAGACAAGCCTTTGTGTTCTTTTTTGGTCAGCAGTGTTTTTCTCCTCAAACTCTCCCATGCATGCCATTTTTGGCCATTCTCTTTCTTACTTTAATCATGAACCCTGACCTTAACTGAGGCAAGTGAGACCTGCAGTCCTTTAGATGTCGGTCTGGGGTCTTTTTTGACCTCGTGAGTGTGTCATCAGCACGATCTTGGAGTGATTTTGGCAGGCCAGCCACTGCTGGAAAAGTTCACCACTGTTCCATGTTTTCTCCATTTAGGGATAATGGCTTTCACTCACTTAAGTCTTACAAATGGCCTTGTAACACTTTGTAGACTGATAGATGTCAAGGACTTTGTTTCTCAGCTGTTTCTTTAGAACATGGCATGATGTGTTGCTTCTTGAGGTCTTTTAGTGTACTTCACTTTGTCAGACAGTTGGTCTTTTTAAGTGATAACAGATTCTGCGGGTGTGGCAGTAATCAGGCATGACTATGGCTTTTTGCCACTGAATCTAGCTTTCAAAATATTGTGGTTAATCACAGTTAATTCACGATTTAACAAGTGAGGACAATTACTTTTCTCATATGGCGAGGTTTGGATTGGGTTGGGATTTTTTCACTTAATAAATAAAAGCATTATTTAAAAACTGCATTTTCTATTTACTTAATTTGTCTTTATTTATCAATATTAAAATGTGATGATCTGAAACATGTAAGTGTGAAAATTATGCAAAAATAGTAAGGAGGTGGAAAATACTTGTCATTAATACTTTGTTATGTAAAAATGTCAACTTCCTCAGAAGTTTGAGTCTTTGCGTTTGGCTTTTTTTTTCAGTGGTGTAAACAACCTTCCATACACTTCTTGAAAGAATCCAATGAAAAATATCTAAGAGGTCGAAGTTTTTGTCTCAGGTCATGAACCTTCAGTCAGCGTTCAGGGTTTAGCGTTATGTTGACTGTGTTGTGCGCAGACTCCAGGAGGCTGCCGTCATTGGTCAAAGGTACACTGGGTGCCGTGGAATATGATCGCATTCAACAGTGTGAAATGCAGTGACGTGAGTGTTACGGACGTAGGCTAAAACTTCGTAAAGTCTAAGAAGACTTTTCGCCACGTACTAGGATTTAGCGGTCGTAACACGTATTATTTCTTAGCTTCACATTCAATTTTACTGAAACATTTTTCCCCATCCAAGAGTCAACAACATGGCACTTGGCTAGCCAGTTAGCTAGCTAACAGCAATAGTGTGCTGTAACGATAGCTATGTAAATCAGGAGTTATGTAAGGGACGTCTAGTTTTATCACCTGAGCCACATCATGACAAGGGCTACGGACTACTCGACTGAACATTGCTAACATAAAATCTGGAGAAACAGCACCGTTTAGCTTGCTAACATTAGCCCACCCGCGGAAGAGGGGAATATCAGATAGAACTGTCACGATGGCTTCTCTGCTCCGGGGTGAAGAGATGTGTTTGGCCCAGCTGTTTCTACAGTCTGGGTCCGCGTACGACTGCATCAATGAACTTGGAGAACTGGGACTTGCAGAGTTCAGAGATGTAAGTACGAAAACAGACCGCTTTGAATCCGCTAGAAACAGTAATTCATCACTTAAGAAGTTGTAGCTGAACTTTTTGACAGTAATCTAAAAGTTCTCTACAGTCATCAAATAATGCAGTGACGTTTGCTCAGTACATAAAGTGAACGCGGAAGTCACCGGCATATGTCTTAAAGCTACCATAAATGGGATCATACATAGACTTATTGCACAGTTTTTTAAGTTTATTCATGAGATATGTTCAGAGTCCTGCATGAGAAGGTGCTAACGAACATGTACTTTTCACCTGTTTCAGCTCAATCCCACTGTTAACGCATTCCAGAGAAAACATGTCAATGAGATCAAAAAATGTGAAGAAATGGAGAGGATCCTCGGTAAGCATATGTTAGTCTTTGACATTTTAATAGTTCTTGGCTGCTTATGGTGGGAAGAAGATCTCCTCACTGAAGGTAAATCGAGTCATGGGAAATGTCAGCTGGTTGTAGATTTAGTTGAATGCTTAACTCGGTTAACCAAACCCTGGCTTATTAAATTAGGAAGAGAGTAGCACACTGTCAGACTTGTCTTCAATTTCAGTGTTTTTCAAAGGCTGGTCACGGTGTTTGGAAGCGGTTATGATAGTTTCATAAAGTTAAAAATCGCTTGTTGTTTATAACAGGATACCTTCTGAGGGAAATCAAGAAAGCAGATATTTCACTGCCAGAAACAGATGTGAACCCAGCAGCTCCTTTACCCAAGCATGTCATGACTATAATGGTTAGTTACTATCTTATTATTATTTTTATCATAATCATCATTTTTAGTATTATTATTGCTGTCATGTATTGCTAAATATTACACGTTCCTATCGTTTCTCAGGAACAGCTACAGAGGCTAGAGATGGAATTAGGTGAAGTCACCAGGAATAAGGAGAAGCTGCAGAGGAATCTGCTGGAGTTGACAGAGTACACACACATGCTGCGCATCACACGCAACTTTGTCCAAAGAAATGCTGAGGTTAGTGTTTGTGTTGGCTCACCTCTTGAAAAACCCACATTCTCACTACGATGCCACATTGTTTTTCTTTCATGGCTCAGAAATTAGTGTGCTGGCTGATTTCATTTCAGTTGCCTTCTTTACCCTCCTGCGTCTTGTCTTCACTTATAGCGGGAGCCCTTGCAAGTACAGTATGAGGAGTTTCCCTTCCTGGAAAAAGACACATTGATGGACTACAGCAGCATGCAGAGGCTAGGAGCCAAACTGGGGTGAGGGATACAATTCTGTCAGCCTTATCAGTCAGCATTTTATTTATGTTATACAAAGTGAATGCTCCACATGAATGAGGACAGATGCACATTTATTTTCTTTCTAAATAGTTTTCTGTTTCCTTTTCTGTCTGCCGCTGCTCTTCTTACTCACAGATGCACTTTATACTTAGAACACCCACAAACAAACAAGCTATTCACAAAATGCTCTGAAACTGTGAGGCAGCTGTGGCTTTTTGAAAGAACTGATTAATGAAGCAAAAATATATTTAGACTTTGTAAAAACAGAGAGATAGTGTGGTGGGGCACAGATTTAGTTGAATGTGTAGTGACAATGAGGGCTCAAAGAAAAGGTGGCTAAACTTACAGTGCTAGTGCAGTCAGGATGTACTTGGTGTCATTCCCTTTATATTGATACATTAAATTTTTATTTATATTTAATT